CCCCTCCTTACTCCCATGTGGGGCCCCTCAGGGCAATTAAAACTTTACAGGACTCAGACACTTCCAGGATTCCACCCCTACCCTTTGTATTCCCATCTTCCTCTAGCTATAGAAGTCCACCCAATAGATGGCTCATTTTTTTTGAGTCTGTTCTGGGTGAGTAATCTGCAGGTGTCCTCCCCCCAGCTTCCCCCAGTTGTGTTCTTTTTTTGATAGGAAATATAGCACAGGATATGCAGGCATGGATAGTTTGGGATTACATTGTCTTTCTCTCAAAACTCATCTGTCTTCTGAACTTTGTTTTTTCCCTAAGGGTACTACTATCCCTCTCTGTATTCTTTACCTCTACATTAGCCTTGCTTCCCACTTAACTACAATTACTCTCTTCAGAGTTAATAATGATCTCTTTATTGACAAATCTCTAATATTCATCACACTCGTTTTCTAGAAAAAGTAGTCTCTTTTTTTTTGGGTTTTTGGGACACTTCTCTTAGTTCGTCTGCCTTTTGGCACATTCTTTAAGTCTCCTTTGATGGCTTATCATTGGTATCCCTCCCCATAACAGTGAGTATAATGTTCTGTCTGGGGCACTTTCCTCTGTGCACTTAGCTCCTGTGGGTTTAAAGATCACCCTTATGCAGAGGACTCGCTGATCTGTATATCCAACCCTAATCTCCTCAGCTTTAGTCTCGCATTTGGACATCTCAGATTTGATGTTATGTAGGTATCTCAAACTCGACATGTCCAAAGTAGAACTCAGTATCTTTTCCCTAACACTCTCCCTCTCTCCTCAATTTCTCTTTCTGTTGAGGACCACTTATAGTTATTCAAGTTTGCAACCTTGTTGTTATTCTTGACTCCTCATTTTCCCTGACCCCATACGATCACTTGTGAAATCTTGTGCTTTCTGCCTCCACAACCTTTCTTGTATCTATTCTGTTCTCTTCACACACACACAGCTACCATCCTGCTTAATCTCTGGTTTGTAGTAGAGCCTTCCTAATTTGTCTTTCTGTCTTAAGGCTCTCCCTGCTCTAGTCCATCATCCCCATAACTGCCAAAATGATTTTTTTCTTAAGCGGTCTTCTGACCATGTCACTTTCCTATTGATTCTAGAATAAAATATTATTTAATCTTTGTCTCATCCTTTTATAATTTCTGTTTTGTGTAAGCTTTAAAACGTACATCATTATTAGTACAGTATAACATGTATGTAATTTATAAATAACGTAACATATATTGAGGGTGTGTGCACTACATTTTTTTTTTTTACTGGTGGATTGTGTGATGAAGAAAGTTGGGAAACCACTATGGGTGCCTTTAAGACATAAAAGAAACCCAATCCATATTTTTATCCCATTTCCTTGGTAAGATATTTAGTTTTGTTAGGCTTAGGTATATTATAAAATTAGTTTATTTTATAATTATTTTAAATTATAAAGAAAATTTCAGTTTGCTTTCATTCTTTAATTAGCAAAAATGGACTATTGTGCACTGTGAGGGACAGAAAGAAGCAGGTGTTTTTTGGTATAACTTGGTATGAGTAACATTTATTTGCATATATCAGTTTGCAAATGTGTGTATGTTAAGTTATGGAGTTATGTTGATTATCATAAATTTGTGTGTGTAAGGCCCACAGGAGCCATTGGATACTTTATGTGTAGTTTAGCTAAGCTTCACCAAATGAGGCTTGTTTATAGTCTGAGTTTTTAGATCTCCTATAGATGTGGTTAATTCAAAGGAATGTTGGGAGTATTTTTACATTCAATTTTGCTTTTTTAAAAATGAGGATAAATCCTTATTTAAAACATCTAAGCATTATCATTAGGTAATGATATAAATGATCTTAAGACAAACACCAAGGTATCTTTTTCACTAATCCTAATTGTTTTCATTCATCATCTAAGTTATTCCTGAATTTTCTCCTACTTTAAGCAGGATATTGACTCTTTATACTTTGAATGATGCAGTAAAATTTAAAGTGTTGTCTCTAGTATGAGGACCTCTCCTGGAATCCCTGCAGAGCTACTTTGGACAAGTAACTAGTCTCCCTGAGCCTTAATTTTACCCATCTACAAAATCAAGGATTAGACTAAATTGTTGTTCAAAGCTGGTCTGGAGTGAATAAGCCTTTACTTTTCTCATTAGGAGATCAGAAAAGTAGACATTACTTTGCTTTTTCGAAATCTTGTTCTTTCCACATTTGACTAGTATATGAGGAAGAAATTGACAAATGAAGAGAGTCTCCTTTAGTCCTCTAGTGTTTTTCTCTGTGCAGTTGCTGCTATGAGGAGTTTGTTGAGCAGTAGTTAGAAGCTACTGACTTGTCGGTAAGAAACCTGTGATTATCTTTTCCTTAGATAATTTCTCAGTCCTTCTTCCACCCTTCTTCTGAATACTGTAGTTGGGAGTTATATGAAACGAAATTTACATTAATTTGTTATGATAGACCACTTTACTTGCAAGATTAGGTGAAGTTGGGGTTTTTTTTTGTCTTTTTCTGAAAGACTATCTTCTTCCTCGGTACATTTAATTAACAAAAATCTACATTTTTACCAGGACATCACACACACATACACACACCCCACTCCCTAATCAAACAGAACTTAAACAACCAGAGGAGTAATTTTTGAAAGGTGTTTTTTTTAAAATATGCCTCCCAAAGACGTTTCAGCAAACTTTGTTAGAAATATATGATCATTTGAAATGCTGGACATCTTTGCAGATCAAGTATACTCCATAGTTTTCAAATTGTCATTATTTTAATTTGCAACTAATATAGCGTACATTTCAAAACCATGTCTGTTTGCAAATAAGCATTATTTCTGGTTTAAAAATTTTTTTTAACATTTTTTATAATTGATTTTTTTAGTTTCGAATTCTCCCTCTCTTACCTTCACTTCCCTGACCCACTGAGAAGACTAGAAAAAGAAGAGCCACTACAATCAAGTATATAGTCAAACAAAGCAAGCCTCTCTATTAGGCATGTCTCAAAAATGCATCAGTCTACACACTCCGAGTCCATCACTTCTCTTTCTAGAGGTGGATAGCATGTTTCATCATGTGTCCTCTGGAATTATGGTTGGTCATTCTGTTGCTCGGAGCTCCTGAGTCTTCCAAAGTTGTCTTTATGTATTGTTGTTATTGTATAAATTGTTCTTCTGGTTATGCTTATTTCACGTTACATCAGTTCGTAGATTTCTTCCCAGATTTCTCTGAAACCATCTTTTTTATCTTTTGTAGCATAATCATATTCCATCACATTTCATGTACTATGGTACTTTCTCAGATTCCAATTGTTTGACACTACAAATAGCTGCTATTAATATTTTTGTACATATGGATCCTTTCCCGTTTTCTTTGATCTCTGAGGTATAGACCTACTTAGCAGTATTGCTGGATCAAAGGGTATACACAGTTTAATAGCTTTGGGGACATAGTTCCAAATTGCTTTCCAAAATGGCTGGATCGGTTCACAGTGCCATCATTAATGTAGCAGTTTCCCACAGCCCCTCCGGCATTTGTCGTTTTCCCTTTTTTGGCCAGTCTTTTGAGTTTGAGGTAGTACTTTAGTATTGTTAATTTACATTTCTTTAAGTATTAAAAAATTCTGTTGCTATTGATAGCATGGATTTCTCCCTCTAAAAATGCCTATTCATATACTTTGACCATTTATCAATTGGGAAGTGGCTGTTATTCTTATAAATTTGACAATATTCTATTTATATCTTAGGAAATGAAATCTTTAACGGGGAAACTGCCCCAAAGGTTTTCTTCCAGTTAGCTGTTTTTCTTCTAATTTTAGCTACATTGGTATTGTTGTGCAGACCCTTTTTAATTTTACGTAATGAAAATTGTCCATTTTACGTCCTGTGAACTTCTCCCTCTTGTTTAGTCAAGAACTATTCCCTATTCATAGATCAGACAGATAATTTCTTTCATTAAGCATTATTTCTAAAGAGCCAGGTAATCCCTGCCCCACCACAAAAAAATAATTTTAGGTTCATTCAGAAGCAGAAGAATAGAACACTCCCTGATGCAAGAAAATGTAAAGGGGGAAAAAACCAAATCAATGGCTTTTGAAGGCATTTAGGCTCTGAGAAGTTTGCCTTAATGAGCTTAAAAAAAACAGTGGCATTCACTTTGAAAGACAAGAAGAAAAACAGTTTCTATTTGGACCTGAGTTTTTTTTTTCTTCACATGCTATATAAGCTAGTGTCCATAAATATCAGTGTTTTTTTGTGGCCCATTTGGCCACTTAGAAATAAATATTCTAAATTGCAAATGGACAAGTTTCTGTGTATGAACCCTAACCATTATAAGAGATTGAGAATAAAAGAAATTGAGAACGAGGGGCAATTAGGTGGCACAGTGATAAAGCACTGGCTCTGGAGTCAGGAAGACCTGAGTTCAAATCCAGCCTTAGACACTTACTAGCTATGTGATCCTGGGCAAGTAACTTCACCCCAATTGTGGCAAAAACTAATCAAACAAACAAGAATAAATATCTTTGGGGCAGCTAGGTGGTGCAGGGCATAGAGCTCAGGCCTTGGAATCAGGAGGACCTGAGTCCAAATCCGACCTCAGACACTTGACAGTATGTGACCCTGGGCAGGTCACTTAACCCCAATTGCCTAAGGAAAAAAAAATTAAGAACATATTTGAAACACCTAAATTTGAAGTATTAGATATTGCAGAGTCTTTATATGCTTTAACCATAAATTTTAAAAATAATTCATAATGATGGTTTAGGTAGTATACTTAAGGCCTTGTGTGTTTTGATTCAGCAGAAGCAAGAGCTGGAATTACAACTTCAGTTTTGTCACTATACTGATTAGACAACCTAAGAAGTAATAGGGTATATGGTATCCATATTAATGCATATTGCATACATTAAATGTGTATTGATAATTTTATTTTAAAACATTTTATATAATGAAAATAAAGATCGTGGTTTATTGGTTCAAAAATTTAAAATAAGGCATGTTTTTGTATTATAGGTCAGGATTCTGTAGGAGCCTGATTTTAGAATTCACAAGATCACCTGAAGTACTAGAGAAATATGGTATGTTTATGTTTTTTTTAAATATTCGTATGAAAATAACATCTCAATGTCAGCTCTTGACTATGCTTGTCAGTATTTGAAGATTTTCCCAATCCTAATGGAACATAGAAATAAAATAAATAAATAAAATATTTATTTAACCTATTTGGGACTATATGCTCAGACCCTTAGGGGATAGGAACAGAGCAGTTTCTTTAATTTAAAAAATACCTATAAAATGAGAAGGGAGATGTAACAGGTAATTGTCAGTAACATCCAAAATGTTTGTAGCTATTACTAATTACTGATTAGAAATTAGTAATAGCTACAATAGTAATATTAGTAACTAATTATTACTAATAAATTATTTTTGCATTTTAGTGTATATCATTTTGATAAGATAATCCAGACTGAGTAATACTTGAAATCTAAAATGTTGTTGTCATTTTGGTACCACTCAGTGGATCCTGGTAGCTACTTGAGTATAGACTGGAAAGGAGTATATTACTCCTCAAGTACTCAAGTCCCTAGAAAATGTCTGACATCAAGGTACTCTTGAAAACTCTTACGGTTTTGATTGGAAGATTTTTTGTAGTCTTCAGCTGCTGTTGAGGCAGGTGTGCTAAGAAACCTACAAACCTTAGGAGACTCAGTTCTTTCTGGGTATATATACCTATTTCTTGCCTGAATGGGTATATTAAATTTGATTGGAAATTTCCTTCTGGCTCTAAATCTATAATACTTCTTAGGCTTAGATTCCTTGAGGGCCTAGGAATGACCTTTTGACTTCTTTTAGATAATTGTAGTCTATAAGTTTTACATTCAGAATACAGAACCCTCTTGAACTATTTAGTGGTACAGTGCTGCCATTTTTCCTCCCCATCATATATTGTAAGTGAGGTTCCTTATAATGTTTCTTTAAGGCCAGTTCCATAAACTTCTGTCAAACTACTAGGTGTCAATTCCACTTGGCTAGAGGTGTTGGCTCTTTCTAGAGCTGTCTTCTCATTGGCCTGCTGTAGCTTGGTGGGGCAGAGTGAAACTAGCAAACAATTAAGGTACATATTCAAGTAGCATTTTGGACTTGTGTATCCTACCTGAACTAGTATAACGATGAGGACTTCTGGTAATTGTGAGCTCAGACACAACATCCATTGAAAGGTTACTAATAAGGCCAGCCGTGGTAGTGAACAGTCAATTTGGGAAGGAACATCAATGTATATAGGGAGGGGGTGTGTGTGTGTGTATACACATAGGTTTATTTTGTTGTCTCTTTTTAGAAAATTGTTTAGCTTTTGGACGATAAGTTTTATACATTTGAAAATTAGTGTTTCTAAGGAGTTTTGCTAACATTTGTCCAACCTCATAAAGTAATTCAAGCCAGTCTTCAAGGGCTCCTGAGTGTGTCCTCAGTATTCATTTATATGTTTATATTGTTCTTTCAAGTATATGCTCAGTTACTGACTTTTTTTCAAAATCTCAATGTTCATGATGGTCCCATTAATCTACTGCCATAAGTTTTGCTTGTATCTTATGTCCCATACTCCGAACTTGTGTTCATATTCATATGTACAGGCTATAAGCAAATTATAAACTGATGAGCTTAATTAAGGAGAAATATAAGAAAAGAAGTTTTAAAAACCATAGCTTGAATTATTACCTCTATACATTTATTTTCTAAATCTTTCTCTCTACCCACTTCCCCAAAATTCTAGACCTATATTTCCAATTCCCTTTGACATATATCCCACCCTACCTCAGACTCAACATGTCCAAAACTGAACTTAGTATCTTTTCCCCTGAAAACTACCACTTCCTCTAATTTACCTATTTCTGTTGGCAGTATCACTGTTCTCGCAGTCATAGGCTCGTAACCAGTTACCAGAAGAATCATTATTAAACATTGTTTCTTTTTCACCTCTGACATCTAGTTAGTTGCTAAATCTTATCAGTTCTTCCTCTGGAATCTCTCTCTCCCATTCTTTTACCTTATTTCCCATTCTACTGAGGGTAAGTTCAAGCCCTTATTTCTTCTTACCTAAACTAGTATATATTCCTTTTAGCAGTTCCTGCCTATAATCTCTCTCCTGTCCAGTCTGTCCCTCACCTAATAAATCCTTTTTTTCACCTTACGGTAGGGAAAAATCTTCCATTGAGTACTGAGTAGTAGTTGAGCCTTCTTTTCCTTACATTCAAGACCCTTCAGTATGGCTTCGGTCTACTTTTCCAACCTTGTCTCATATTATTCTCCTTTATATATACGCTGTTTCAGACAAACTAAACTGTTCTCCGTTTCCCGTTCAGCTCCTGCCTTCTCTGATCTCTATACCTATGCCTATGGCTTTTCCCTATGGCTAGGATGGATCCCCCTCTCCTCAAAAGCCCTATATCTATCTCCCTTCCTTTGAGGCTCAGCTCAGTGCCACCTCCTCCAGTAAGTTTTATCTTCTGATTTCCTTGAGCTAAAAATGTTCTTTCTGTCCTCAGATATCTCCTAGCGTTTTACCTGAACCTCTCCCTTGCATTTGTCAGCTTATCATACTGGTTTTTTATAGTTGTTTGTTTACATTCCACCACCTCCATTCCTACCCCCAACACCAACATCCCTGTCTCCCCTTTCCCCCCACACTCAACAGGAATTTCTTTGAAAGCAGCATTTTTGTTGTAGCAATCTTTCTATCTTCATGCCTATCACAGTGCCTTACTTAATCGATACTTAATAAATTGTTGTTTCTGAAAAATTGAAGATTGTAATTGGTATGCTCTTATATTTAGAAATTGACAAAAGTTTTAAAGAGGAGTGCTCTGAACATTGGATTGGATTGAAATGCTAAATTCTGAGGAATTCTAACTGAAAGTTTGTTTTTATTAGAATTATTAAACCTACGCTCAGCTCAAGTTAGCAACTAGACTGGTGTGACAACCTGTTTTTAATCAGTGACTCAAAGCTGTGATCACCTCGATGTCACCGAATGGCCACAGCTTGTAAAAGGTAACTTTGAATGTTATTTCATGGTCTTTGGTGGGCTATCTTCTTATAAAGTAAGATTATGCGATGATTATTAGTAGTTGTACAAATAAAAAAATATAAAACTGATAGAAATACAATCAAGAGTATTGGGCCTAACATTTGACTTACTTTTTCATATCTTTCCAAAAATTATCACTACCTTTTCCGCCTCTTTAAAAATGTCAGTAGCAGCCATCACTATAAGTCTGTATGGATAAACAATAGAGCAAACTGTTTTGGTAGGGAAATGATTCCAGGTTTATGCCTCAGTAAAAATTTAATTCTGAATGTTACGGAAAATAATATTAGAAGACTTATTAGAAGTTTCAGCTTTAAAATGTACCTCTTATTTGATGAACTTTTTATTGAAACACTACTCTAGAAGATTTTACAGCTTTAATAAAACCAGTGTACTTTTCTCTCCTAGAGAGTTACAGTGGAGGTAGAAGGAGTGGCTTGCAGGATGGAGAAGCTGCACCCAGTATTATTGGAAGTGAGCCACCATTTGAATTTGCTAGCTCATGCTGCAGTATTCAGATTAATGGGTGTCTTGTGATCACATTTTCTGCAATCCAAATCAAAGCTGAAAGTTATGTGAGCATTTGCTCTGAAATTTTTTATTTCTAAAATAATTTGCTTATTGTTAAATTTTTTAAATGAAAATCTTTTGTAATTTTTCACATAACATTTTTAGTAAGAGAGTGCCCCCAAAGTAATTTTTGCCTTTGGTCACATTTTCTAAGTTTATATATATATAAAATTTTTTATTGTACTCTTTAAAAATTGTAAATACTTGACATGAAAGAATAAATAGCTTCCTATTGAATAAACAAGTTTGATTAAATATTATTTAATATCATTACAAGGTAATTGATACTCCAGTTTTTGAAAGTTGGACCTGACTTGGAAATTTGCTAGTTTTGTTTCCTGTCTTCCATCACCATTGAGCTAGAAAATTAATTTGCAAAATATAATGTAAGCAGGGCTACTAGAAACTTAGTATAGATCTGATTATTTAAATTTTTACAAGGAAAGTTTTTTTTCTGTTTGTTCTGTGGAACTCACTTTTCTTTTAATTAAAAACAATCACATTTATAAAATTGATTAGGAAGACATATAGGATAATCATTTAAATAAAAGATTTAAACCAAGTCTCTGAAACTGGCATTTTAGGAAACTGAAACTGGCATTAATCTGTCCTTCCTTTCTTACTCATCTCTTTTTGTCTTTTTCCCAGTCTGGATTGATTTTAAATTATTCATCACTTGTAAATAGTATTGAGCAAGTGGTCACTTTCCAAGACCAAGTTAAAGAGAACAACCTAGTAGTTTTATTTAGATGTTAGTCACCATTTTCCTCAGTGGAGCCAACAGAGATGGGAAAAGCTAGACCCTAAAGCTAGATTGGAATGTAATTGTTATATGGTAATTGACATAGCTTCCATCCTCTTCTAAAAGAGTCTCACATCTCTGCAGCACTTAAATATCTTTGCTTCTAAGACTTGGATTTGTTTCCTCCTTGCTTGTGTCTTATCTTTATACCTTTGCAGTTTTTTTTCCCCTTTTCTATGTTCTCTCTGGGTCCTCCCCTTTTCCTTTATTCCTTTATCTTTCCTGTTAATTTTGAAAGTTTTGCTGCCTAAGTGTTTGAAAGCTTCTAATCTGCCTCTCTTCCCTTAGTGCCAGCAGGTTTATTTTTTGTTTTGCAAGCCTGCTCTGCCTCCTTACAATATGACATCTGATGCTGGAGGGTCGCACTTTCAAAAATGAGTCAGCTGGTACATGGGGTTATCATCAGTTTTTAGCTCTTCTGTCTGGGAGATACAAGTTTGGAAGCAATCTTGGGGTTCTTACCCACAAGGCTGGTGGAGACCAGGTGTGTCACGAAGGTGATTTGCTTGCTCCCTGGGGGAGAGGGTGGAGTGAAATTTTTGCATATGTGTCACAGCCAAGTCACTGCCACCTCCAGCAGGCTATCAATTTAGTTCTTAAAGTGATTTTCATTGACACTTTTAATTTTAATACTACTGTATAAAGGTTCTAAAATGAATTATTGAACTGGGACCTATTTATGCATTCTTGTTCTTAGCAATACTATGAACAGACAAGGGAAAACAAGTTTTGAAAGTCAACTAAAGAGGTAATTTTAAAATAGTTTTAAGAGAAGTGGAAAACACAGAATTATGCTTTTTTCTGGTGGCTCTGATTTTAAGATTCTTCTGATGTCTTTAAAATTTTGAAGTTCAAATCCTCATTTTCTGGTTAATTCCTAGGTTTAAGACTTGATGCCCCTTTGAAAACTTAGTCTTTGCTTTAAAAAAAAATTAATTTTAAGTTTGCAAGTATTGGAAATAATGTTTGTATTATACTATACTATAACATGGTTTAAAACTGCTAATAAAGTGAATATACTTCCTGGAACTCAGCCTGTTTTCTAACAGCAACATATAGGGTAAGGAAGGTTCGTGCACTCTAGAAATGAATTAGGATTGATTTAGTAGACTTGGCTTTCTGAGTATATCTCGATAAAATAGGGATATATAGTTTCTGTTGACAAACAAAATACTATAAAACCACTGGTTGGCAATTTTATATTTAATGGGCAATTCTCAACTATCTACAGCAAAGTTTTAATCCAAGGTTTAGTTTCTCTTACCATTCAAGTTTACTTCTGGTCAATAGTATCTCTTAGCACCACTAGTTAGTATGTGCACAAGGAAACCAAAGTAATGTCAGTATTGAATGGTGAATAAGAATAAAAATAAGAATGGTCAAACTGTTATGAGCTGGTAACTTATCATGTCAACTTGGATCCTTTTAGACTGACTTGCAGTTTTGCATGATGCATAAGTGAATCATTCTATAAGAGGTGTTAGTCCAGGCTTGACCCTAGAAAACTTTGCAGTTGTGTATTTTTAGCTAAAATTTTTGTTCTCCAGGCATAATCTTGATTTCTCGCTCAGATTTTGATTCCTTATACTACTGTAGGATTCTGTATATTATTCTTAGGAAGATAACACACTAGGTTTTATTAGGTAAATTGTATTTTTTAAAAAAACATAGTGTGCAACCTCATGTGTTTGAGTTTTTTCAATATGTATTATGAATTTGAAAATTTTGGCTTTTAGTAATATGTTGTGACCTAAAGAGTTTAATGTATTACCAGATTTATTTTAGAGAAAGTTATCTTCTAAAATAATTATATATAGATATTTCAGAAAGTAGTTTTGCTTAATGTTTTTTGCTTACATCTTGTAGATCACCAGGAGAACCTCACTCTGACGACATCGAAGCTAGCCGAATGTAAGTAAAATTGGTAGTCATTATTTGGGAAATTTAGTGTAATTACTTTATTTTTATAAATGGCTGTTACAATTTTCAGTATAGAAGATATAAAATATGTATTTTCAAAATTAATTGACTTTATATGAGATCTTAAAATAGCCACGAGCAGAAACATGCTTACCTGTTTTGTACTTCTTAGCTCTAACTGCAAGTCATTGACTTTACTGAAGTCTTCCTCTTCTAGATGTTAGCATACCCCTAGAGCCTTCTACTTTTTCATAATTAGAGATGGTAGCAGATTTAATAACATTTAATTTCTCTGTGGCCTGAATATCTTATTGTCTCTTCAGCCTTCTACTTGTGTGGTGGAAGGGAGAAATGCAGAAATGTGCAAGTGTAGTTCTAGCTCTTCACATCTCTCTCTTCCAGCTTTTCAGTCCCACTTCCACTGGAGAGACTGGAATCTGACAGCTATTCAGTGGGGTAGGTAGGCAAAATTTTTCATTCAGTACAGGTGTGCTATACTCTACGAGAATCAAATACCTGTATATGAAAATCTAAACTCATAAAATAAATAAAGGGGGAATAACCATATGAGAAAAAAGATTCTTGACTTTATAAAAAAGGATTTACCACACAGAGTTCAGTTATTATAACCAACAACAGTGATTATGCTATCTTGCATTTGCGTAGTGCTTTATAGTATTCAGAGCATTTTGATCTGTATTATAGCTTTCAAGTAATGAGCTTCTTGAGTATATCTAATATGATTTAACTTGTATCCTTTTCTAGGAGCACAACTACCATGTAAACTGAGATAATTACTGTTACAGTAATACTTAATATTATTTATTTCCAGGGGGGTGGATGACAAAAGCCATAGAGTAGAGAATTTGAAATCTGGATGGGACCTTAGAGATCATTTAATCCAACCCCTCTTCCTCCTTCCCCGACCTCCTCACCTCCTCATTTTACCATCAAGAAAAATGAGGCCTAGTGAAGTTATGTGACATATCTATAATACCCCAGCTGCTGAAATACCCAGCCCAGGACTAAAATTGAGCTAGCCTGAACCCTGGTCCTGTGTTCATTGCATTCAGTTTTTTCTTTATGACAGAAACACAGCAGGGGATATGAATATTTAAAATTTAAACCCCATCAATTGCTTAATTTAAAAAAAAATTGTCAAATAAAATTTTCTGTTTGGTCTCTGCAGAAAGTTGAAGAGTTTTTTGCTTGTTTCTTTTCTTCCTCATAAGCTTAAGCAAGCATACTTCTGGCGACATAGCTTTAAATATATCCTGAAAAGTAGATGAGACACATGTAAAATGTGCCTTGAAACTGGGAGATTCATTCTTCAGGTAGGTGTTGGACTAGGTGATTTTTAAGGTCCCTCCAATTTTAAGATTGTCTGATTTCTCTGTTTTTAAGCAATTGACTTAATGTTCCATTTGAATGCTTAGCATGGCTATTTGAATATATGCTTTATTTTTCTTGTACACTGCTTTACTTATTAAATTTTGTTCAAAACATTTTTTAGCTTCACATTTTTTTCATTCCCATTAAAAAATTTAAGAAGAAAAAATTTCCAAGACCAGGTTATGTAAGTGCTGCGTGAACGTGAATAGTTAGAGCTGTCCAAATTAGAGGCTGTTCCCTTTAGTCAGGCAGTGCATCATAAAATTTTCCATTATTTTTTGGTTGTGGCTTTTATCTCATACATTCAGTGATTATTATAGATCAAAGAATATTCCTAGATTACCAGCTTCCTGAAATAAAAAGAAGTACTCCTTCCATGTTTTCTAAGACCTTTCCAATGCCTTCTTACATCATATTCCTCTGATTCATATAATTTCAGCTAGTTTTTTCATATATTTCCTATCAGTGTTGCCAGATGCTAGTAGAATTGGTCATCTGACTCTTTTAAGGTTGAATTGTAGGGAAAAAAAACTAGTATTCTTGTATCAAATAAAAGCTGAAATATGTACAGTTATCATATTTGTAAAATGAAGGGGATGAGCTAGATAACCTGCAAGGCTATATCCAACTCCTGTAATCTATAAATCTTCATGTGGAAGAGAAATTAAACTTGCTGTGCTTGGTTTTGGATAGCAGAATTAGGACCATTGTGTATAATTTATAAAATTGCAGATTTTGGTTTAGTGGGAAGAAAAAAATTTGCTAATATCACAGTTCAGAAATGGAAAGGATTGCTTCTGAGGTTTAGTGAGTTCCCACAACAGGGGTTGTCACACAGTCTGAATGGTTACTTGTTAGGGCTGCTTTCAAACAAAATCCATACATCACCATTTGATTTCTGAAGTCCCATTTGAATTCCCATGGATCTGTGATTCTACAGTTAAATGATAATAGTGCTCTTTACTTTGAAAACTGAAGAAATATTCAGTAAGCGCCTATTTATTAAATGCCTACTATGTATAGGGCATTGTTCCAAATGCTGAGGTAGATTGAGATATAGCATCATCCTAGCCCTCATGTAATGTATTATCTAGCAAGAGGGCAACCGCACTTTATTTAAATATGTAATACTGTATAATAACAGTAGTATATAATAAGAACATAAGACAGGTAAAATGGTTTTGAGGTTGGAGGAAGGAGTTGGAGATAGAGATAAGGAAGAATGCACCCCAGGTTGAGGGGTGTGAGTGGTCATCGTGCCAGAAGTTATGGAGACGGTGAGAGTGAGTGAGTCTTGAGGCATGAAGATACACAAAGGAAAATAGTGTGAAATTCTTAGAGTGATATGGAGGTTACCTTGGCTATGCAGTGAGACTTAACCAGGCAGTAGAGAGTCATTGAAGGATTTTGAATACAAGAATGAAGTGACCGGATCTTGGTGTAACGAATAGAAGTCTAACAAGCTGATTAGTTACTTGGTAGTTCTGATTTCAGTGGGATGCATATGTCACCTGGGGACTGAACCATTTGATTTCTGAAGTCCCGTTTGAACTTACAGGAATCTGTGAGTCTATGATTAAATGACTACAGTGCTCTTTAGCTTGGAAAGGAACAGACCTTTCTCTTTCACTAGAGCAGGAATTTGATAATGACAGTTTTTGCCATGATGATGTTGAAGTTGAAGGGGACAGGCAGATTTGAGAAAGATTCAGACAGCTATTCAGTGGGGTAGGTAGGCAGAATATGGAAATAGAATTGAGAGGACTTGTTAAATTTCTGAATGTGAGTGATGGAGAAGAGAAAAGGTGTCAGATATAACATTGAAGTTTTAATGGGTGAATGATGTTGACAATTGACAGAAGTAGAGAAATCAACAGGAGTATTAAGTTTCATGGGCAAGTATGTTCTGTTTTGGAAATGAGTTTGAAATATTATCACAACATTCCTGTGGAAATGTCTGATAGGTATTAGGAATATAGGGGTGGATGAACAATTGATACTGAGTCTTCTCAGAAAGTAGGAGGTGAGTCAAACCTATTACATTTTATTAAATGAATAATATTAGTGTGACAGTAATGGCAAAGTTAAATGAAAATAACTTGGAATTAGTATAAATACTCTCCCTCTTGTCACTTAGTGATTATCATCCATAAATTAGGTGTAAAGCAGGGGCATGCTGAAGCCAGTTCTTATCACTTTACTAGAACCTGTTGTTTTAATTTTAAGTATGGGTATTTATACTTTTGAAATTAGCAGATGCTGCAAGTAAGGGCTTCATATATTGTTTTGTTGATTGTCGAGATTTAAAATGATGGAGAAGATGTTAATAATGTAGTTTAAATATAAAAGTATGTCATGTGTTGTTAATTGTTAATAATGCAGTTTAAATATAAAAGTATGTCATGTGTTTTCAGAGAGCTGATTGTTAAACATTTACCAGATACCTGGTATGTAAAGCCAGAAAAAAGTAATAGAAGTAGTATACTCAGGTCTTCCTTCTTCTCCCAACACACACTCCTTTCAAGTTTCTTAACTCAGTTTCTAAAATTGGAGGTTGCATCAAAATCTCTTAATGGTGAGGTATGATATAGCAAATCACTGTCAGAGCTGTTATTAGACTATACCTTAGAAACTCCTAGTTAGAATCATTAAGTCATTCATACAAAGGCTAATTTATTATAGATCTCAACTACTTTTGTCTATGAAAACACAGCGTTCCTTCTTTATATACCCATGAATAAGTAGTCATAATGGCTATAAATGTTTTGTTTTGTTTTTTTGTCTAGGCAATGGGGTTAAGTGACTTGCCCAGGGTCACACAGCTAGTAAGTGTTATGTGTTTGAGGCCGGATTTGCACTCAGGTCCTCGTGAGTCCAGGGCCAGTGCTCTATCCGCTGCGCCAGCTAGCTGCCCCTGTAAATGTTTTTAAAAGATAATCCTTCCCCACAAATACTTGGTTGCTAGAGTATTTGTGTACGTCATTATTTCATATCATTTATGTAGCTTAGGAAAAATTAGATGGGAAAGAAATGAAGTTTCTGTCAAATTTAAAATGTATCAAGGAAACCAGGTTTTTGCTATAATAATAATAAGTCCTTCAGAGTTCTTAATATTTACTAAGTAAATGATGCTCTTCTAAATACCACATAAAACTTGAGCTATTAAGATACAGACCTTTCGCTAAAAAGAAGTTAATGTGGGGCAGCTAGGTGGCACAGTGGATCTGGCCCTGAAGTCAGGAGGACGTGAGTTCAAATCCGACCCTTAGACACATAGCACTCACTAGCTGTGTGACTTTGGGCAAGTCACTTAACCCCAATTGCCCTCACAAAAAAAAAAAAGAAAAAAGAAATTAATGTGAAAATATTACTCCTTAAAGTACAGTTTTTAAAGTAATTTGTATCCAGAAATCCCAATTCCTTTGTGAAATCCTGATACATAGCATTTTTATGATTTTGCTAGATATAAACATTTAAATTCATAGCTTTATCAGTTACTTGAGAATTTGAAAGTATTTTATCACTTCTAAAACCAGTATTTTATGAAAAGTGGGAGAAGTATCCCTCGCTTAATAATTCATTTCAACTCAACAGACATTTACTAAGCACCCACTGTTGCAAAGCCCTGAAGTAGGTTGTAGAAATACAAAGACAGAAGAGGCTGTCTCAGCTCTCAAAGAGATCATCTTCTTTATCATCATCATCATCATCATAGGTAGAATGTACATAGAGCATTAAGGTTTTCAGAGTACTTTACAAATATTATCTCATTTTATCCTCACAGTCATCCTTGGAGATAGGTGCTAATATTACCCCCATTTTACAGATGAGAAACTGAGTTTGAAAGCAGTTCACTGACTTGCTCTGGGTCACACATCTAGTAGTGTTTGAAGCCACATTTTGAGCTCCGGTTTTCCTCTCTCTAGGTCCAGCACTCTAGTACCACCTAGAAGCCACTAGGGAACACAACATGTATACCAATAAGTAAATACAAGGTGATTTGAAGAGGGACAAACAGAAATAAGTATCTAAGGAGATCTGTAAAGGCTTCACAGAGATATGTA